TCTAATACAGATATGCGTAGGGACGTGCAAGAGATCTTCCGGGCCACACCTCAGCAGAAGCAGGTCATGATGTTCTCGGCCACGCTCTCGGACGAGATCAAGCCGATCTGCAAGAAGTTCATGCAGAACCCCACGGAGCACTATGTCGATGAAGACACCAAGTTGACGCTGCACGGCCTGCAGCAGTACTACCTCGCTCTCGAGGAGAGGGAGAAGAACCGGAAGCTCAACGAGCTTCTGGACGACCTTCAGTTCAACCAGGTCATCATCTTCGTCAAGAGCACCCTCCGTGCTACGGAGCTGGACAAGCTCCTGCGCGAGTGCAACTTCCCCTCGATCGCTGTCCACTCGGGCGTCAGCCAGGAGGAGCGGTAAGTTATTCTGAAGCATCTTGTATCTCGTTGATGCCCACTGACACTCGAGGTATATAGTATCCGCCGCTACAAGGAGTTCAAGGAGTTCAACAAGCGCATCTGCGTCGCCACCGACGTCTTCGGCCGCGGTATCGACATTGAGCGCATCAACCTGGCCATCAACTACGACATGCCGGCGGATGCTGACTCGTACCTCCATCGCGTCGGTCGCGCGGGCCGTTTCGGTACCAAGGGTCTCGCCATCTCGTTCGTTACCAACGACCAGGATAAGGACGTCCTCAAGTTGATTGAGAAGCGCTTCGAGGTCGCTCTTCCGGAGTTCCCTAAGGAAGGCATCGACGCCAGTACTTATATGGCCTCTTAAACGTCCAACATATGGGGACATGGGTGTTGTACTGTGACTGCTTATGGGACTGGTCGCTCCAAGAAGGAAGCTACTCCCGTTATTTCTTGTAGTGGTTTTCGATCTGGTCATCTAGTTATTTAAGTTTATGCGGTGCCTGCGTCCCTGTATTCTGAGACTTTTGGTGGCCTGGGCTTGGCAATATGAAAAGAGGAAGCAGTGATTGGGAGGGAGATATGATCTGTTCGATTGTCGACTGTCTGAGCAAGTTGGGTCCGTAGGTGACACCAGTTCTAGCTAATCCATGCCAGCACCGTCTATTTTTCCATGTGTAGCCAGCTCTCGGTGGGAATCTCATTGCGCCATGCACATCGAATACTTCCCGGACCGGCGAATGCAGCTCGACGGTAATTCCCGCGTTGTACCACAGGTGCTGGGATTAGGTGGCCAGCGCACCGCTTTCCCGCCGGCGCCTCCTTGGCTGCCTCGACGCTGCCGGGCAAAGCTATAGCGGCCAATACAAGTTCTCATCGGTCCATCGATAGTAGCGGATTTCCATGCGGGCGTGAGTTCGGGTGTCCGCATCCCGCATGCGGTTTTTTTTTTTTTTCCGGGTTTCTCGCGTTGGGCCGCCAGCCTGCGACGCTTTTGTGCGGTGGCCGTATCTCAAATGGGGGACGCTCTTTGGAGCAAGCATACCACCAGGCTAGCACGTGGCTAGCTAGCGGCGGGTGGGACGTGACTGGTCGCGGCCTCTCCTCTCTTCCTGGGGCCGGCCTAGACCGCCATGGGTCAGCTCGCCCCGGGCGTTTATTCTGTTTTGTTGGTGTGACGTCCCGTCACGGGAGCCACGCGACCAAACGATTCAAGGAGCGTCTCGGGCTCAAGCCACATGATGTCACCAGTCACCCAGACTCCCTCTTTGGTGTTTTCCTTCTTCTTGTTTGTTACTCTAGGCAAGCCCTGTACCCGGCAGAAACGCACTTGCGCAGCGGTAGAGTGGGTAGAGCGCAATCTTTCGGCCGCGGCCGACTCTTAAGGGGGGGATCTTTCCCGGCAGCTCATAACGCGGGGGAGGTTTCGCTTTCTGCGATGACCTACAGCCGACGAAGTGCAGCGTAGATCACTTGGGGGGTTTTTGGTAAAAGAAATAGGTGTGGGAAATCATGTCAATCCTTTCGGGAACCCTTTTGTCGCCTGCCCAATAATGAGGCTGACTGGGGCATGGCGTTGGGTGTGGAGAGCGACGGAGCAAAAGCCCCGGGAAGCTGGGGGGGGGGGGGGGGGTGTCTTCGTGCG